GCCTCCCTCCTCACTGCAGCCGTGGGGAGAGACGGGCCATCGAGGGTCTGTCCGTTGAGGGTGAGCTCGTCTTGGCATCTGTTTTCATAGGATGCACATGATTCATAATTGGTCGTTCAAGAGGTGTGGGTGGAAACGAGTGATTGAAGCATCCACTCTGTAATGATGCAGTTGTGTTGTGGTTTTCACAGCTTTGGGAGTCCTTGATGGCGATCTTAAAGGAAAGTACTATGCCCTCAAGGACATGACAGAGGAGGAGCAGCAGCAGCTGATTGATGACCACTTCCTATTTGATAAGCCTGTGTCCCCACTGCTGCTGGCCTCTGGGATGGCCCGTGACTGGCCCGATGCCAGAGGGATCTGGTGAGTGAGACCGGCCTTTTGGGTCCATTACTCTTCTTTGCATTAAAAGGAATATTGAAGTTTTCCTTACTAAATGGATACATTTAAGTGCCATCTTCTTAATACTTGGATGATTTATTATTATTATTATTATTATATAAATTTATTTCTTATATGGAGATTACTACTACTACTACTACTAATAATAATAATAATGTTTTTAATGGATAATTCCAGCTTGATATGAAAAGTAATGTTGGTATTTTGTACCTTTTTATATTTATTGTATGCATTTAGGTACTATCTTTAATATATTATAAAATTATATACATTTTCTCTTTTTCATTTACCCTTTATTAAAATGATTGGTTTTGTAGTAGGTTTTTATAATTTCATTTTTTTTTTAATTTAATGTTTTATTTTGGAGTAAGATTAACTGATAAGAAAACATCCATGTTGGTGCTAATATATTATGGTTTGTATTATGTTTTATTATAAAATGTGTATTTTATATTAGAAAATGGATACGTTTGGGTGCCATCTTAATATAATATAACATTAAAGAATTGATTTGTTTGTCCAGTATAAAGATTATTTGTTTTTTGCTTTATTCATTTATTACTAACAACAATTTATCGAGTGATTTCAACTCGACATGAAAAATTTGGTGCTAAGATAAGAAAAATATAGAGATTGATATGATATAGTACAGTGAACATTTGAAGTGCATCAAAAGTTAATCAAAGTTGTCCTAAGACAAGAACGCATTTTGGTTTTAGGACAACTTTGATGAAAGGTTTTGATCCACTTTAAATGTTGACTAGTATATTTTAAACAAAGTCCCTTTTAAGGCAGGTCACGTCACTCAGCGGCCATCTTTGAAACGCCTCTCGGGCAAGCAAGTGCAGCTCCGATCTCTTTGAATGGGGAAACATCAAATTCTCCAAAACTGGTCTCCAGGCTTACGATTAAATTTCATATTTGAAATCACCTATAAAATCTGACAACAGCTGTATCATGTTTATTTTGCTCAAATAGCGTTATAAAAAGCTTATTTTTCAGGCTAGATCAGCCAGTGCGCATGCGCAGTCCTAACCGCATGTCTCAGAGTGTTGATGGTTTCTATAGCAACCGGGACTTCTAACAGCAGCTGCAGTGACGCGCTGACCTTACGATTAGCGATTGGCTCTTTTGCTCAGAAGGCGGGGCTTCGTTTGATAGAGCGGCCATATTGAGCGTTGCATTTTTCCCCATTCAAAACTATAGGAGTGACACGTCTTGGGTATTCTATAGTCTTTGTTTTAAATGACTAAAATATGATTCTTCATAATGCTTTATAGGCACAACGACAACAAGACATTCCTGGTCTGGGTGAATGAGGAAGACCACCTTCGCGTTATTTCCATGCAGAAAGGTGGCAACATGAAGGAAGTCTTCAATCGCTTCTGCACAGGCCTCACAAAGGTTGGTTTTTAATCAATCCGAGCTCTTCAGCATTGCCAGCATCTCCAGTGTTGGCATGTTGTTAAATCCTAACTTGTTTGTCCTGCAGATTGAGGAGTTGTTTAAAGAGAAGGGCCACGAGTTCATGTGGAACGAGCACTTGGGCTACGTCCTAACCTGCCCCTCCAACCTGGGCACAGGGTTGCGTGGTGGCGTTCATGTCAAACTTCCTAACCTCAGCAAGCATGAGAAGTTTGGCGAGATCCTCAAGCGACTGAGGCTCCAAAAGCGTGGAACAGGTACATGTTCACCTGCAGTTCTGTTACATGTACCGGATGTAATCTGCAGTACTAAACTTGCTCTTGTCTCCAGGTGGAGTTGACACTGCTGCAGTAGGCGGTGTCTTTGACATCTCCAATGCAGACCGTCTGGGCTTCTCTGAGGTTGAGCTGGTTCAGATGGTAGTGGATGGAGTTAAGCTGCTTATAGAGATTGAGAAACGCCTGGAGGCAGGCCAGTCAATTGGTGACCTTATGCCTGAGCAGAAGTGAACACTTCGTGACTCCTAACTTAACTCCTTCCCTGCCTCCACCAGTCCTCCTTTCCTCCAGTACCAATAATCTTAACTACGTCAAGGAACATACACTCCACCCAAACGGTAGTGGCACTAAAGTTAGACGAGTCTTCCATCAGTGTGAAGGATTTTGTATCTCAAACTTCCTGCAATGTTGAAGATGGAGCTTAACACCAGAAATAAAGTCTCTTTGGCCCATGGAGTTTCTTGTGCATGTGTTATTGTTAAAAGATCAACTAAATTTAGTTTGCTGTAGTTTTCAATCCATCACCTCATTTACTTTGATTCTGCATGTGTCCAGATGCCAGAAACAAAGGCACTGTTGTTTAGGTGGTGTTCTAGCGTTATTTCGGAGGTTTAGTTTGTATTTACAGACCTGTTAAATGTTTTTAATTTGGTGGTGTTTGTAACGTGTAGGATAATCCCAGCACTTTAAGGTCATTTTATAGGTAGACTAAGGAGGTCATTATTTGCTTTAGAGAAATTAAAGGCTCACAAACAGGCCCTTTGTTTTTAGCTTTATTTTTTTTTTTTTTTTTTTTTTTTTTTTTCAAGAGACAGTAGCTCTCTTTGCATTTTAAGTATTCTAGGCTTTATTTACTTCCACTTTTAATTATTTTTCTTTGCATTTATAAAAAGCATAGGTTTTGGAAAAAAAATTCCACCCTTTTAGGTTGCTGTCAAAACGGTCTTGTACTGCCACCTAGTGTCCATAATGGGAGATTAATCCAAAAGAACTATACTTGTATCTTTATTGCGCTTGTTTTGGTCGTTTTTAATGCTGGCTTTGTTCTAAATTGAGAACCATTTTGCGGAAACCATGAATGCAGCTTACTTTACAAGCATTCATTACAGTAGTCTTCCCGTATACGACAGGTTTAGTCAACGCTGAAAGAAGGAAATATAATTTTGTTTCGGAGACGTTTGAACAACGAAGGTAAACTCTTCGATATTTTAGTTGCATATACTATCTTAGGTAGTTGGGTAACACCAACATTGAAAAACGTCTCAATCTCTATAAAATTATAGTTAAAACAAACTACTATGGTTGGCCAGACTATGACAGCGCAGAGAAAAGTAACATGCACCATATGACATCAATACAAGTTCAGCCACCATCAATATATATGTTTTTTAAGCTGAATAACAAATATTTAGCTATTTAATTTAAAATACACTGAATAATATTAAGTCAAACTATTATTTCGAACCTTATTACACCTAATGAAAGAACATCCGGGTCAAAATTATCCGGGCTGAATTAACATTCAGGAGCACTTGATAATTACAGACGGATAAGCATTGAAACGGAACTCTTCAGTTGGTAGATCTCCAGCATGATGTGGTTACTCCTCCCACACTCAGTATGAGATCTGGGGTGCGTTCCCCCTAAGCATTGGTTGCAGCAAGTTCCACTGAACTCTATAGTAATGATGGAACTAGTGTCATTAGTTGCATTTGAGTACAGGGCTGAATTTGTTGTGCCCCAAATATAGTGCTTTATTTTCAGCTAAAGAACTTCTCATCTTACCTCAATATATACTTTCCATCAGCTGTCAATGGGTGTTGCTTCTAGCAACCAGATACGACTACAACGTTGGCTGTTTTAGGCCACTAAAAAGCATAAAACTGGATTCAAAAATCGATTTCCAAAGCAAAAGCAGAGAGGGAGAGACTGAGCAATGAGCATAACACAAAGTGACACGATTTCTTGCTACGACTCATTTCTTTTTATGTTGTCATGTATAGAACACAAGGTGCGAGTCACTGTATTTCACAGAAGCCCACACGGGCAGTTTAGTCGAACAGCATCGAGTCAAGCAGGTCTCCTCTCCTGTCCTCATCACAGTATTTACAAGGTTAAACTCCACAATAAAGCTCTTCACTGCCTTAACGGCAGATTATAAAAATCAATTCACATGACTAAAAACTGGAGTGGAGTGGAATGGGCTGGTATAATATAAAGAAACTTTTAAAAACAAAACAAAAAAGTTTAAAATAAATGTAAATGCAGAGAAAATTTTCAGCTTAATTCATCAGAGCCATGGAACTCTAGCCAAACCCTCTACAGACAACAAACTGACAAAAACGTATAGTGTCAATCACCGTAAGCTAAATACTTACTGATTTCATAAATGATGGTTCTGATGGTTCATCTCAATCTTTCTAACACTTCACACACACACTCTTCAAAACACTCTTATGCTGTGAAAAACTCTTCTCAGCACTTCACACTTCTGTATGATGCTCACTGCAGTGAAAAAAAAAAAATTTACACTCATACATAAATCCCATACGCAACACATACACTTTCACTTATATGCACCTTTATGAATCATATACATGCCCATCAGTGGTTCTGATGGTTCATCTCAATCTTTCTAACACTTCACACACACACACACACACTCTTCAAAACACTCTTATGCTGTGAAAAACTCTTCTCAGCACTTCACTCTTCTGTATGATGCTCACTGCAGTGAAAAAAAAATACTGTCCTCATCACAGTATTTACAAGGTTAAACTCCACAATAAAGCTCTTCACTGCCTTAACGGCAGATTATAAAAATAATTTCACATGACTAAAAACTGGAGTGGAGTAGAATGGGCTGGTATAATATAAAGAAACTTTTAAAAACAAAAAAGTTTAAAATAAATGTAAATGCAGAGAAAATTTTCAGCTTAATTCATCAGAGCCATGGAACTCTAGCCAAACCCTCTACAGACAACAAACTGACAAAAACGTATAGTGTCAATCACCGTAAGCTAAATACTTACTGATTTCATAAATGATGGTTCTGATGGTTCATCTCAATCTTTCTAACACTTCACACACACACACACACACTCTTCAAAACACTCTTATGCTGTGAAAAACTCTTCTCAGCACTTCACTCTTCTGTATGATGCTCACTGCAGTGAAAAAAAAATATTACACTCATACATAAATCCCATACGCAACACATACACTTTCACTTATATGCACCTTTATGAATCATATACATGCCCATCAGTTTATTGGATTCCTCAGTCATAGATCAGAATAATCGCAAACTATTTATATTTTGTTCTCTGCTCTCATATACTTCCAGTTTATACACTCGTTTTTGTAGATATAAGCTATAAAATTCACACACAAGTCCTTTGTTTTAAGCTTACATAACCTCAGCTCTCATTCATCCAGTTCAATTCCAAGTATAGAGAATCTCTCTCTCTGACAAAGAGCACAGCCTGCCTTGGTCTTCTCTGCAAAGCATCATGGGTAAGCAACTACAAATAGAGAAAAGCTCGTGTCAGTGATTAGTGCTTGATCCCCAAAGTGTGATGTACAGCTATAATACATTTAACATGGATACAAGAGAGCGTGCGAGGAGTGGAGTGGGAGATACGGAGGCCTGGTGGCTGAGCTGATGGGGGCAGACAGAGAAACCTGAGGCTGCTTGTTTGGCCTGGTGCTCGCTGGAGAGTGTGTTTGAGTAGTGCGGTTAATAGTGCCTCCAGGTTCAGGGTTTAGCAGCTTCAGCCCTTCTGTGGTCCAAGTGGCACATAGAGGTGAAAGACGGAGGTTCAACACCTCGAGACATCAGTCCGGTCGGTCACCCACGAGAGAGTTACGCCAGAGACCTCTGACATGGTTTTATTCTGCGGTAAAGCTACAGAGAATCAAATAATAAAAATAATTTAAAAATATATATTCAAGAAGGATTCATTACACTGATCAAAAGTGAAAGATATTTATATTGTTACAAAATATTTCTATTTCAAATAAATGCCGTTCTTTTGAACTTGTTATTCATCAATAAACCTTTACGGTTTCCACAAAAATATTTAGCAGCACAACTGATAATAATAAGAAATGTTTCTTGAGCAGCAAATCATCATATTAGAATCATTTCTGAAGGATCATGTGAAACTGAAAATAGAGTAATGGCTGCTGAAACTTCAGGTTTGCATCATAGGAGTAAATAAAAGATACTCTACTGCTATATCCCGTGTGTGCACCTACCCCTAATAGGTTCCGTGGCACATAGCCCTCTTTGTCATTGAGTTTACTCCACCACCACTCTGTCTCGGTATCGTCCTTCCTGCGTAGGACAGTAATGGCATCACCCTCCTGAAAGGAAAGCTCATCTGTGCTCTGAGCCTCATACTCCCACAGCGCGTACACAACTCCCTTATTCATCACTCCCAACTTCTCCTGCACACCTGTAAACACAGAGAGAAGGCAAGGTAATATCTCATTCAGTATGATATTACAGCATTAACATATGCACCACACAAAAAAACAATGACATCTAATTATACTGGTGAGTACTGAGAAATACTATTTATTTTATTACTTTTTAAAAGTTTAGGGTCTGTAAGATTTTAAAAAATATTTATAAAAGAATCTCACCATGTCTGCATTTATCTGATCACAAATATAGTAAAATATTATTAAAGATTAAAATAAATGTTTTCTATCTTAATATATTTTTAAATGCAATTTATTCCTGCGATGGTAAAGCTGAATTTTAAACTCCAGTCTTCAGTGTCACATGATCCTTCAGAAATCATTCTAATACGCTGATTTGATGCTCAAGAAACATTTCTTATTATCAGTGAAAACAGTTGTGCTACTTGATATTTATGTAGAAAATCTGATACTTTTTTCAGAATAGAAAGAATAGAAATCTTTTGTAAAACTGTCTTTACTGTCACTTTTTATAAATTTAATGTGTCCTTGCTGAATAAATGCATTTCTTTAATATATATATATATATATATATATACACGGACTCAAAACTTTTGAATGGTAGTGTTCTTGATATGTTAATGGGATTTCTGGAGAATTCTTACATTGATTACGACTAAAAGCTGGACAATGGGCAAGTAGTGATGAAAAAAGTGAGGCTTTTTAAATTTTTGAATCAGGTGATTCCCAATTCTAAGTGCTCTAAACTCTGTACTCTGAGGACATCTGCTGGTTAAAGCAGTGTAAATATAATGAGAACTTGGCAAAAACGTTCAATGACATTTATACAAAAAAACTATAATATCACTAAATATCAAAGTGAAGTTATCTGTATATGTAGCCTTTTATTCATTTGTAGCTTTATTTGTGTTTGTAAAAAAGCATTTTAGTTCTTTTTTGGTTTGATATTGTCATCTTATACAGAGATTTTCCTAAACTGAGACTTAAGACTCTCAATCTTTTGTAGAGTAACTTGCATTTAGATTTGATCCTAAAACTGCCTCCACTTTCACATTAGATTCAACAGAGTTCTCAAAATGGATGGTATGAGAGCACAAAATCATTCTGAGGAAAAGGCACTCTTACCATAGAGAAACTGTGAGCACTGTATGTAACCCTCCTCCATCTCCTCACATTTGTCTGCTGCCGTCTCTACATCGCTGATAGTGGTGGCAAAGATGGCAGCACCAGACTCCACCAGTATCTTACACAGGTGCACGCTGTTACAGGAGGCGGCACAATGCAAGGGCGTCCTACACACACAAACACACATCAGTGGGTGTCTACTCAACACCTGTTAGTTTGAACAGACTGATCAATCTCTTTCACACTGACAGACCCATCAAAGTGTCCTCACCAGCCATCACTGTCAGCTGCATTCACATTAACACCAAAGTCCAGCAGGAACTTGACGATGTGGTGGTGTCCGGCACACACTGCGTTATGGAGGGGTGTGATGCCCTCATCATTAGGGGTGCTGGGATTGTCAACCTTTAAAATGAGAGGAATTAAATAAGAATTTGTTCATTAAAAAGGGCAAAATAAAGCAGTGTGTAAAGTGTGTTCACATGGCATACCTCATAGATTATCCTTTGTACATGGTCAAACTCGCCCTCCAGTGAGGCATCCAGCAGCAGAGCGAGTGGGTTGAACTTCACTCTAAGGCCGTGACCCGTCCGCTCCGAGTCGGGTTTCTTTAGGTTCGTGCGTTTGCCCTGTTGAGGACATGGACCATTAGGCTTTGTTCACACAGCACAAAATCTGATTTGCTTTTCAAATCTGCTCTTTAGGACTGATCATCCTCCACACTGTTGGAAGCAATATAATCTAAATTGTTTGTTCAGACACTGTTGTAGATATCTGGTGTATCTAACCTATATCAACTACTAATGATGTAAACACATTAACAAGGCCTTATTGTAAAACTTAATGTGGCTTTCTGATACAGCAAATGAGAGCAATTGTCATTGTGAGAGGAGATGGAAACTAGAAAGGCAAATGTGAACACAAGTGACATTTCATATATTTATACTGCTGTCGAAATGAGTGTATTTGGACATAGACGATGTAGCACACTTACACCACGTTCAAAAGTGTGGGGTGAATTTTTTCATGTTTTTGAAAGAAGGCTTAACAGTAAGGGTGTAATGGTACACGTATTCATACCGAACCGTTTCGGTACGGGTCTTTCGGTTCGGTACGCATGTGAACCGAACGAATACAGTTTTTTTTTTTTTTCTCCGGAAATTCAAATAATAAATGGCGTTTTGACAGTCTTTGATGTGGCATGACAGATCGCTGTATAAACGCCTTGGAGAGCCGCTTCTGGGACTGTTCAGAAACGTAATCCCAACACAAGCACTAACTAGAGCGGCTGCGATCAGCTCCGGTTCCGGTGTCTGAGCCGTGACGCCCTGCAGATTTGTGCAGAGCGGAGCGAGAGTGAACGTGATCATTCCTTCCTCTGTACTACTAGTTTTAATGCGAATAAACTAGTGTTTTTACTGTATTTTTGATCAAATAAATGCAGCCTTAGTGAATTTAAGAGACTTCTTTAAAAACATGTAAAAAATCTTACAGACCCCTACACTTTTGAACAGCTGAGCAACTTGTTCAGTAAACCATTTAAAAAAAAAAAAAGTTTTTCCCCCTGCTGTACCGAAATCATACCGAACCGTGACGTTAAAACCGAGGTACGTACCGAACTGTCATATTTGTGTACCGTTACACCCCTACTTAACAGTAATAATGTGAATTATTACTACAAACTACAATATTTTTTTCTTTTTCAATCTCTTTTAAAATGTCATTTATTCCTGTGATGGCAAAGCTGAATGTTCAGCATCATTACTTCAGTCTTCAGTGTCACATGATCCTTCAGAAATCATTCTAATATGCTGATTTGCTGCTCAAGAATCGTTTATTATTATAGTTTTGCTGCTTAATTCATATTAACTTAACCATGATACATTTTTTCCCCAGTTTTTTTTAATGAATAGAACATTTAAAAGAACAACATTCATTTGAAATAGAAATCTTTTGTAACATTATAAATGTCTTTACTGCCAATATTCCTCAGTTTAATGTATCCTAGCTGAATAAAAGTATTATTTTCTATTACTGACACCAAACTTTTGAACAGTAGTGTAGTATGTCTGTTACATTTGCGTTGTTACCCGAATGATGAGAAAACTACAAGATGTGACCAAAATAGGCATAAACAAAAAAATCTTAATTTAATCACATACTTTCTCATTTGTAATTTGAAATGGGTTAGTAAATATTTTACTAATGGTTTTAAATGTAGTTTTTACACACACACACACACACACACACACAAAAGCAATTAAAAATAACTAACGTAATAATTGAAGATTTGAGAGATAAGAAAAAGGTGGCATTCTGATTTCAATTTCAAGTCTCCAAAATTAATTAATTAAATAAATAAATAAATATATATACACTATATTACAATTAGTATATCTAAATAACAATATATTATTATGCAATAATGATGATGATTATTATTATATTTAAAACAGTAAATGTTGCCAAAAGGCAAAAACTGCAGTGCAGGAAACTTGGGATTCATACACAAGGTTGAGTTTGTGTGAGGCTGTGTATCAGTAAACTGACCATGGGCTGGGATGAGGGACAGGTGTCTGCTTCTTCAGGTGTGTTGGCCTCAGCTACAGGACTTGGCAAAATTGCTAATGTTTCTCCAGGATTATTGTTATTCTCTTCTGACGGTTCTGGTGCTGGAGGGGTCAGCATCTCAGCCACTTGCTCTGGGGGCTCATTATCATTGGCATCACCTTGCGGGATAACATCCTCAGCAACAGAGCCCTCCGAGGGCACGATGGGTGTTTCTGAAGGTTGATTCCCATTGTCTACATCAAAGAGCATTTCACCTGTGGCCGTGGAGGGCTGGTAGAATGGAGTCACTCCTCCACCTCCACTCACATCGCCCATTCCTCCTTCCATCCCTCCAGCCAGGGTGTTGAACCGCTGATAGAGAAGTTTCTGGATGTTAGGCCCATTGGGACCCTCTGGTTCCGTAATCGAGCTGCGTTTCTTAAGCGGTCGTGGAGCATTGGCCAGTTTCTTGCGCAAGGCCTCCAGCTCAGCATCGCTCTGGTAGCGCATAGGGGAGTGCACCATGGGTGTGAGTTTAGTGGGGCTGAGAGGTCGCGGGATGTTGTCTACGTTGGGTGGGGGTGGCTCAGGAACACCCATAATTTGACCATCAAAGTCCAGCTCAACATCCAACATGTCTCCTCCTGGACCCTGCAGGGCAGGAAAGGCCCCAGAGCCCCCAAAAAGTAAGGGAGAGGGGGGAGTAGAGCTGGGAGGCAGGACTGGCTTACCATATACTGGAGAGAAAAAGAACAAAATAGTCAATTACATTGCACTCACAAATAAAACACACTTAAGAAATAAACCACTTCATTCACATACTATAGTACATTCTATTGCATATGTCTGTGCAGTTTTCAATTATTTTTGCTACAAGGGCCTTGTTGACCACTGCAATGTTTCTAGCTGTTTTTTCAATCTTTCTTGCTGTGAGTGGTGCATTTTTAAAGACGTTGTGTCAAGTTAAAATGCGCTGAGAGACACCAGCATTCTGCTCCATTCTGTCGCACTGCATCTAGCTTTTTTTAAAAACACAAGACGGGTCCAAAATGAACATTGCCTGTGTAAAAACTTTTATTACTGCATGAATAATACTTTCTTAGAATCCCAAGAGCGACTTTTTACTTTATGCATATTTATTTATAGGTGCATCCAGACCTTTTCTCTAGTATAGTTTTCACGTGCGTTTATTTTTTAATTTATAATTTTCTAAGTTTATAATTTTACAACAATTTTACACATTATTATAAACCGTTTTAAACACTTAAAACTGACGTCATTTGTTATCTACAGAGCTGTTTCTGGTTATGTTGAGGACTTTATCTGTTGAACTGCAGTTATTTTCTTTTTTTGTTTCACAATTATATATTTGTAATTACATAAATATAGAATTATATATTTTTAATTAATATTATATTTTAAAATAAAAATGTACATTAATTTACAATTAAAGTAAATATAAAAATATATTTATAATTTTATGTAAACATTTTAAATATAAATTATTATATAATTAATTTAAATATTTCAAAGAATATACATTTTATTAATATAATATTTGGCAACACTTTAGATTAGGGAACACATATTCACTAATTATTAAATATCAATTAATTTTTCCTCATTAAACTCCTAATTTACTGCTTATTAATAGTTAGTAACATAGTTGTTAAGTTTAGTTTTAAAGTTTTTGTTGGGGAAGATTTAAGGGATCTAGAATAAGGTCATACAGAATAAGGCATTAATATGAGTTTTATAAGTTCTTATAAACAGCCAGTATGCTAGTAATATGCATGCTAATAAGCAACTAGTTAATAGTGAGAATTGGTCTTTAAAATAAAGTGTTACCTAATATTTTTACTAAGCATCAAGTTAGAAGTCCCCCTGTATAATTTTACACTGTAGATCTGTATCAATACCCAATCCTGATGTGAACTCCCTGTAACAAAAGACTGAAGGTTCTTTTAACTTCTTTTTAACCGAGCATATACTGTCAGGTTAAGTAGAAATTTGAAGTTTAATATTAAATCATTTTCTGATGTGTACCTGCTTTGACTGCGGGCTTGATGTTCAGAGGGTAGTTCTTGGGGGCTGCTTGTTGTAAGTACATATGGTAGATGGAGCTTGAGTTCATAGTGGCTGGGCCTTTTCTGGGTGACTGCGGTCTGGAGCCCTTATCTGGGATGAACGGCCTTACCGCTACAGCCAGAGGAGGGTCTGGCCTCTCACTGGGGGGGAAAAAGGGTGGACTGGGCTGGATGGTGGGACTGGGGGGCACAGAAATGCGCTGCTGGATCTGCTGAGAGGAAGAGCCGGTGGGTGCAGGGGGAACACGGGGCCAGGCCAGCTGCGGCAGTGGGTTGGTGGGTAGGCTGGGCACCGGTCTGAGAGGAACATCCTTGCGTCGGTCCAAAGAGCTGGTGGAACCCGAGTTGGCAGATGAGAGGGGGTGGTTGCTGGTATGGGCTCCGTATGGGGGAGGCTGGGGCTTATTGAGAGGAGGAGCTGAGCCCATTTGACTGGAATCCTGAATTTAAAACAGACAGTAAAATTACGGTAAAATTATAAGACAGCAATTTATTTGTGTGCGTGAGTCTAAGTTAGACGTACCTTATCTCCAGGAGTGCCTGCAGGTGATGCTGTTTTAATGGTCGTGTCTGTTCCAGACTCCTTCCAGTCAGGTGCTTTGACTGATGTGTTGCTCTTGTTGAGGGTGGGCCAACCGGCATCATTTGCTGAAAATGGAAAGAAAGGAAGCATTAATACAAGATCAGACATAACAGAACCCCTCACAAGCACATTTATTATTAGAACAGTGACGAACTGCATTGCTAATATACTAGACATGACTTCTAAAGATGTCTAGGTATGTTCTTGAGTTAGGAGACATGAAGTATAACAGTCTTGCGTATGAAAAACAAGTTGGTCTGGAATAGAAATGAGAGGGGCTCCTCACATCTACAAGAACAGCTCAGATGACTTCTATATTTTACCTTAATTGTAAGCTCAGTCAACTGCATGGTATCTTGATTTCAACAGAGCTTAAAAGTCAGTCCATATGAAACTCAAGCCAAACAAAGAGAAAGACTGATTAAAGCAAAATGACTGAGCCACCACTCTACAGACTTAACTTCTCTGTCTATTATGTGTGTGTATTTTGTGTTAAGTCAACAAGTTAGCTGAATGTTAGAGAATGATGAAATGGAGCCAGTAATTTAGTGAGTTTAAATGTACAGAGGAAGAGGTAGAGAGCCCAGTGAACCTTATCAGGGTAGAGTTTCTCATGCCAGCACACACATTCACTCTCACTCATGAGACCTCGCACAATCTACCTCATTACATTCTTACACACACAATCATATACACGCATACTCCCAAAAGACAGGATCAGCAGCTTTTGACTCGTATTGAATTGCAGTAAAGAGCAAATAAACAAAGGTGAATGTAATTGGCCAGACAGAGGGATCTAGTATATCATTAAGGTTCCGTTGCTCATGAAAAACGTGTAATTTTGACTTCTGCCTTAAGCCATGTTTTGACTGGAAAACTGCCACTCTGCAATTTTTAAAAAGTGGATAGGAACTTTAACAGAATTACTCCTACTGCTTAGTTAAACAAAGTTAGTTAAATAATCTCTGTAAGAGACCCACAACAATATTCAGTTTGCTTAGAACAAGATACATTGGAGACCAAAGTCTGAGATCAGTGGAAAATTTTATTATTTGGAAATTTTAGATTAATACATTTTTCATTAGGAATTACTACCTTTCAAAGATTTTTTAAAAGAAATCAATATATTCATTCAACAAGCACATATTAAATTGAAAAGGTAAAAGTAAAGACTTTTACAATGTTACAAAATATTTCCATTTCAGATAAATGCTGCTCTTTTGAATATTAAATTAATTAATGAAACCTGAAAAAAGTATTATGGTTTCCACAGAAAAATGTGGTATAAAACAGTTAATAATAATAATAATAATAATGTTTCTTAGCACCAAATCAGCACATCAGAATGATTTCTGAAGGATCATGTGATACTGAAAACTGGAGAAATGGCTGCTGAAATTTCAGCTTTGCCATCACAGAAATAATTACCGGTACATGTTAAAATATATTTAAATAGAAAACAGTTATATACATTTTAAATTTTACAATATTAGAGTTGGGGTACTCTGACTTGTACTCGAGTCCGGTCTCGAGTACAGTTTTTTAAAGGACTCGGACTTGTCACGGACTTGGATGCATTTTTACTCGAGCCTTTCGGACTCGGAAAATATGTCCGAGTCCAGGGACATTTGACGGAAATGTCACTGATTCAATGCATTATCACAAAAGTGATATTCAGTATTTTGCATGTGTTTTTAAGTCTTGTCCAGTACTTGAAAGCCGACGGGTTTCTGTGCTCACACACCGAAAGCGCGCTCACAGAACGTGCCTCTCAGTCAGTGTGCGAATGCAGAGTTCGCTTTCGCTTAAGTTCTCTTAATTTCTGTTATTGCTACACACTTACACTAAAAGTTATGTCAAAATGCCCATCTTGGAGACTATTCATGTAAATGCAGTTGGTTTTGTTTTAAGTGAACTTGAACAGTTGGGAGAAATACAGATGTGTCAAAATATTTG